CACCATTCATTCATTCACTTCATTCACCATCCATTAATTCACCATTCATTCATTCACCATTCATTCATTCACTTCATTCACCATCCATTCATTCACCATTCATTCATTCACCATCCATTCATATCATCGTTCACTTCATTCACCATCCATTCGTTCACTTCATTCACCATCCATTCATTCACCATTCATTCATTCACCATCCATTCATTCACTTCATTCACCATCCATTCCTTCACTTCATTCACCATTCATTCATTCACTTCATTATTCACTTCATTCACCATCCATTCATTCACCATCCATTCGTTCACTTCATTCACCATTCATTCATTCCCTTCATTCACTTCATTACTCACCCTCTAAACTTCCTTCTCAAGGAGCAACCTGCCGCCACGAGTGCATCAAGTTGCAGGACTGTCCCTCGTTGGCACAGCTCCTGACGAACCCGAGTGCCAGTGACATTAAGACCCTGCAGGAGGCCACTTGCACCGTCGGGAGTTCGGGATTGGACCCACTGGTAAGTGTGACAGGGGGGGGGAGGTTGTTTGATCAATGATTTTTTTTTCTTTTTTTTGTGATGAATATTGTTGGATGTATGTGCGTGTGTGTGTGTGTGTGTGTGTTTTGTAGCTGATAAAGTAAATAAGGGAAATTGTTTTCTGTCCCATAGAAGATTACCCAGAAAAGAAATATATATTTTACATATATATATACGTGTGTATATATATATATATATATATATATATATATATATATATATATATATATATATATATATATATATATATATATATATATATATATGTATATATATATATATATATATATATATATATATATATATATATATATATATATATATATATGTGTGTGTGTGTGTGTGTGTGTGTGTGTGTGTGTGTGTGTGTGTGTGTATATATATATTTATATATATATTTATATATATATATATATATATATATATATATATATATATATACATATAGAAATAGATTGACAGACAGAAAGACAGATAGCTAGATAGACAGATATATACATAGAAATATAGATAGACAGGTATACAGACCGATCTAGAGATAGATACATAGATATAAATATATAATGGATACGTATAGAGACCGATCTAGACATAGATACGTAATATATAAATAGATAGATTTATATCACTTTTCCCCACAGGTATGCTGTGATGACGCTGCACCGACCCGACCTCGCCCTGCCCCCCTGACCCAGCCTTTGACCTCCCCTGACCCTGTCATACGTCAAGCCGAGTGCGGACAAACTTTCCCGCTGGCGATCGTGGGCGGAGAAACAGCTGCGTTTGAGTCCGAGATATGGCTGGCTTTGTTAGGATATAGAGGTATGGTATATTTGGGTTCTGTTTTATATAGCTTGGGTCAACTTAGTTATGTTTAGAAATTTGTTTGGGTGTTGTTTAGAGAATTTTTATTTTTTTATGATATACTTGGGTAGCGTATGTCTTGAGCCGAGATATTGTTCAGGAAATTATTGTGGTATGATTCGGTTGAATATATCTTGAGACCGAAAAATGATTGATAACGAATGTTTTTAATATACTTTCACAAAGAGAGGATATAAAGAAACAAGAAATTTCCCCATTCATTCGTAAATTCATCTCTTCACACACTTAGCCCTTTATTCATTAACTTATCCATTTATTAATTCATTTATTTGTTCACTCATTCATCCATTCATTTATTCATTCATTTGTGCATTTACTCATGCATTTATCCATTTATTCATTCATTTATCTATTTATTCATTCATTTATCCACTTATTCATTCATTTATCCTTTCACTTATTTATTCATTAATTTATCCATTTATTCACTCATCTATCCATTTATTCGTTCATTTATCAAATTATTAATTCCTTTATTCATTCATCTATCTATTTACCCATTCATTTGTCAAATCATTTATTCATTTATTCATTCATCTATCCATTTATATATTCATTTTTTATATTATTCATTTATTTATCCATTCACTAATCAAATTATTCATCCACTTCACAGACTCCTCGAGCGAAGATATACAGTTCCTATGCGCCGGGTCCCTCATCAACGAGAGATACTTAGTCACAGCCGCCCATTGCGTCAACCCAGCTTTACTTAAGCCTAAGCAGTTTAAGCTGTAAGTAAATGTCCTAGCTATCTTGTAAGTAAATGTCCTAGCTATCTTTATTTCAATGCGCGGGGATTGATTGGTTTGTTAGCTTCCATCGTGATATATTTACTACTTAAGAGAGTTGGGATAGAGGTACGGGGTCGTATAGAATTGATTGTGAAAGTTGATTCGTGTTTCTAGTATAATCGCAAGATTTTAGTCCATCCCCGAACGTAAATCCCTTTATTTTTTTTCATTTTATTTGTTTCTATAAATTCATTTTTGACCTAAAAGCTATTCAAACCCCTTTAATAAAACCAACCTATATTTCCCCCCCAGAGAAGTGATCCGCGTTGGCGAAAAGGACTTGCAATCTGACACCAATTGCAACGAAACCCCGAGGCCAAGATGCATCCCTCCTTCTCAAGACTTCATACCCGAAGACATCATTCAACATCCGGATTACGACAGCAAGACGTTCGCCAATGACATCGCGATCATTCGACTCAGTTCGCCGATTGACTTCATCACCTTTGAAGGTATGGAGAATCGGTCTTATAGCCGGGTTGTGATAAAGTTTTTTATTTTTCTTCTTCTTCTTAAAAAGAAAAATGTTTGGAAGTTCTGGTTGTGGATATATTTAGGATTTAAGTAGGAAAAGGTTGTTGGTTATTGTTTGAGTTGTTGATGTTGTGTATGTAATGGTTGTAAATATGTTTAGGACGTAGGGATGGTTGGTGATGGTGGCAGTACTGAAATCTTTCTTATTTTTTATCTTATTTTAGGGTACTGAAGTTGAATTTCTGTATTTCCTAGTTATAGATATAGATGAAATGTATTTAGGAAAAAAAATGAATGCCGTGTTTTTAAAGCTGAATGTCATTTATTCAGCATAACTTACGTTTATAATAACAATTTAATCTACCATTGCAAGTTTTATCAGCGGTTCGTGGTGGTGCTTATTAATAATTAAACACTGTAATTATTTTTTTTGTTTCTCAATTTCATGATAACGAAAGGTTTAAAGTAGGCCTACCGTAATAGTTATTGGTTTAAAACGTGCTTAGAGGAACTAGGAGTGTCATATCATGGTGAGTAAAAGAAAAAAATTATCGCTTATTTTTTATTTGTGTTCATGGCGGGACTATTCAAAAAAAAAAGAAAAAAAAACGCGGAACGAAACGAAAGGTGACTTTGCACGATGATTTCCCTTTTTATTTGGTACTTATCCCATAGTTATTAATAAGAAAGAAGAGTTTTTTCTATTCTTCTTTCTTTCCATTATTTTTTTTCTTCCGTTTTCTTATGACTGTCTCTTTTTCTCACAAACTTTCCAGTACCATACTTTTCAATAAATAAATAAATAAATAAATAAATACATAAATAAATAAATAAATAAATAAATAAATAAATAAATAAATAAATAAATAAATAAATAAATAAATAAATAAATAAATAAATAAATAAATAAATAAATAAATAAATAAATAAATAAATAAATAAATAAATAAATACATAAATAAATAAATAAATAAATAAATACATAAATAAATAAATAAATAAATAAATAAATAAATAAATAAATAAATAAATAAATAAATAAATAAATAAATAAATAAATAAATAAATAAATAAATAAATAAATAAATAAATAAATAAATAAATAAATAAATAAATAAATAAATAAATAAATAAATAAATAAATAAATAAATAAATAAATAAATACATAAATAAATAAATAAATAAATAAATACATAAATAAATAAATACATAAATAAATAAATAAATACATAAATAAATACATACATACATACATAAATACATAAATAAATAAATACATAAATAAATAAATACATAAATAAATAAATAAATAAATACATAAATAAATAAATAAATAAATAAATAAATACATAAATAAATAAATACATAAATAAATAAATACATAAATAAATAAATACATAAATAAATAAATAAATACATAAATAAATAAATAAATAAATACATAAATAAATAAATAAATAAATACATAAATAAATAAATAAATACATACATAAATAAATACATAAATAAATAAATACATAAATAAATAAATAAATAAATAAATACATAAATAAATAAATACATAAATAAATAAATAAATACATAAATAAATAAATAAATAAATACATAAATAAATAAATAAATACATAAATAAATAAATAAATAAATAAATACATAAATAAATAAATAAATACATAAATAAATAAATAAATAAATAAATACATAAATAAATAAATAAATACATAAATAAATACATACATAAATAAATAAATACATAAATAAATAAATAAATACATAAATAAATAAATAAATAAATAAATAAATACATAAATAAATAAATAAAATTACTCATATAAAAAAGTATTATAAAAAAAATCATTTTGCAATATCATGATTAATGCAAATGTTGAAATAAGAGAATTGCAAAATAACAAAAGAATCGTTTAGTGTCATGGCGTCGATCGGGAGACGTGGCGAAGATCCTGTATTAAATCTTAAGTCTCAAAATGCATTTATTCTTGAATTTTCTTATCAGTGTTAAACAGTTTTTGACTGAAATTACATAGATAGATAGATTGATATGTGAATATATGTGTGTGTGGATATGCATATTTGTGTGTGGGTGCGTGTACGTATACGTGTGTGTGTGTGTGTGTGTGTGTGTGTGTGTGTGTGTGTGTGTGTGTGTGTGTGTGTGTGTGTGTGTGTGTGTGTGTGTGTGTGCATGTGTGTGTGTGTGTGTCTGTGTGTGTGTGTGTGTGTGTGTGTGTAGATCTTGCCTGAAACATTTCGTCAAATCACATCGACATTGACACTGTGACTCCTCCATTCAAGCGCAATAGTGTATATCGGTTCCTATTGTTGTGTATATCAATGATCTCTTTACGCGGAAATGCAAGTGAAATCATTACGTTGCAAGTTCACCGACGATGAAGGTACAAGTGTTGATCTAGAATTTTCCAGTTTTTTTTTTTTTTTTTTTTTTTTTTTTTTGGTGGGGGGGGGATTGCTCACATCCGGAATTGCTCACATCTCTTCACCAAAAATAACTAGTAAGATATTACTAGTACATGTACTATGCAGTGTTTAGCATGTTATGTTTTATCAACTTATCGGTCTCTTATTGCAATGTAAAATGTAGCAAATGACATTTTTTTACGTTTACGTTATGTATTGAAGTGTATAGTAAATAGCATTTTAAAATTATATCGTATTTACTCATCTCATAATGCAAACCAGTGTCTACCAAATAACATGTTCAACTATGGCCCACATATCCATCTCTCAATACAGTGTAGTGTATTACAAATGACATTCTAAAGTCCATTAAATCTATTCTTCTCTTCAGAGTACGCTGGGCCCGTCTGCCTCCCGCCCAGAAGTGAATCGGCGGAGCTACTGGCGAATCGTGGGTTATTTTCCGTGGATTGGGGCCTGACACGCACGCCCTCGCAGTTTTTGAATCGTTACGATGTAGCTCTCGTCGACACTAACGATTGCAATACGACATATAATGGCCGATTAACTGCTGGCCAGGTAGGAAAGAAATGATATAACCAGGCATTCTGATGTTATTATTGTTTTTCTTTTGTTTTGTCTTGTTATCATCCGCCTTCTTGAAATTCCTCCGCTCCCCTATACAAAAAAAAAAAAAAAAAAAATCTCAACGATTCACTCTGAAAAAAAATTCCCAGCTTTTCAACCTGACTCGCCTTTCCTTTCTCAATTACAAGCCTCAATATTCCTAGAGACATCAACCCCCACCCTCGCCTCTCCTCTTCCTCCTCCTGCAGATTTGCGTCCGCCCGATGAACACAGATGCCTGTAGCGGTGACGGAGGCTCTCCCCTGACAGCCACGAGTCCGAATAGCAACGCGTGGCAGCTTCTCGGCGTCCAGACCATAGGCGTTGGCTGTGGCCTCTCGGACCTCCCGACTGTGTACACTTCGGTCAGTTACCACAGAGACTGGATCGAGCAGAATATTAGACCTTAGTAGTAGAAAAGTATAAAAATAAAGAGTATAAAGTAAGCGGTATGTGTAAGAGAAACTTTAAGAGAATTGAAGAGATTGGGCTATTATTAAAGTTGTATTTCTACCTGATTTATTTTTCACCCTTATTGTGTGTTAACTGTGCTGTGTAAATTTAGTTCTTTAGCTACTTTCCTTTAACTTATCAATGTACTATAGATATTTAAGGGATAAGCCCAGTGAATGTACGTTTAGTAGTGCACTCAACCGCCTTACAAGAACCATCAATATTGGATCTAATATCACATTCTGCATTACTCTTATACAGATACTTGTTAGACAGGGATTTAAGAACAGGGATATAAGAAACTTGCTTGGGGTTATTCCAAAGCTTAGGCCGTTTAAATTAACTTACCTTTAATTTATCCACTGACATGAGGTACGAGGTAACAGTATGATGCATTAAATGGATTTTATATGTCTTAAAGAAGTCTAAGCAGTATATCAGTTGGTATTCATACGGTAGGGTACCAAGTAAAGGAACTCCCCTCCCCCCCCAAAAAATATATGCACTATAAATGTGAAATAACAATCCTATTCATCACCGTCCACGTTGTAGTTAAAGAGAGGTTGCATGCCAGTACGCACTTGTTCCAAAAGCTTGTTAATATCTACCTATAGTATAAAATTGTTTAGCATGTATGTTCACCAAATCAGTAAAAAGAGGGTTATGAACTGGGACTACCGGTTTAAAACACATGATTTTAGAATTCGAATTACTATCAGTTTCATAAAAGATGCTCGCCCTTAAAGTTCATAATTATCAAAGAATATATAATTTGATTCTTATGAAACAAAAATTAATAACAACGTGTATTCATCTGCTTGGTTCGGTTACGCCTAGTATTTACCAAATCATTATGAATTGGTGTTGTTTTAATGATACTGTCGTGCTTAGTTAACTCACCTGAAGATATTAGATTGCAATTAAACATGCAGCTCTAACTTCACTGCAGCATTGGTCAGCTACACTGTAAAATGTAGGTCTTTGCGCATGTGTGTTATAAGATATACAAGTTAGATTTTGGTGATCACTAGTTTCCAAGATGTGTTTGCTTATCAACTGCAGCGTGAAAGTTGGGAAGAGAGACAAAAATAATAACATTCGGGGACCCCATAGACACGAATGTAAGTGTGTGCTTTCCGGTACAGAACAAGGAAACGTGACACTGCCTGCTGATTGGCTGGGAAAGCTGCACAACGTGAACTGCTTGGTTTCTCACATCTCTTGGTGCTATTTGAGAATTCTTTGGAAAAGAAAACGGCCTTGATGCTATTGTCTTTTCGAATGTTAAAACTTGACTCTGGACGCTTGAATAGATGGCCCATGTAAGGCAGATATCTTAAAAATTGACACCATGTCATTTACCTCACTTTAATGGAACACACACACACATAGATATATATTGAATCATTGCTCGAGCTGATACTCATTTTCCTTGACATTTGCTAGCTAGTTTTCGGCCTTGCACATCTGTCATTTCTTAGAACTTTGTCATACTGTCAAACAATACATAGATATCATACATGTCGCAGTTTTTCGTAACACAAGTTAGGGTGACAATTTATACTGAATATATACTATAGATACAACTGATCCGAACACATTATTAATGTTATTAACGACGACATATATTTTGTCGGTGGGTGTATATTTATCAAAGAAATTTACAAGACAAAAAATTCTGTATTTACCCCTGAAAAAAAAAAAAACTTCACTGGATATTACAATATTTCTATTTTGCGTCCAACACTTTAATAATGTAGCGTTGCAGGTACAGTTGCCCCAAGAAGTTTCTATTCCCCAGTGTTACTCCCGGTCAAGATATGACAGACTAGACATCTATCCTGTAATGATGTATATACCTGAGTGGTATTTATGTACCTCGGGAGTCATATTAGCAAACTGTATTATGTAAAAAGGGGGATTTATTAAACCATCATTAAGACATCAGATTTTAAAAGAATGCAGTCTCCTCCACTTCCTAATTCGCCCCCTACTGCTGCCAATCCATGAACCGTCGGCTTCGAAACTTGTGTCGAAACAGTCGCCCACACGAGTAGGTGATTGTGTTTCGGATACAAGAGTCGAAGCATGTGGTTCCAACATTGGCTTGGAGTGTGACGTAATGCTCAACGTAAAAGACACTTCGTATGTAGATGAAGGAAGAAAAAAGTAAATTCGATTTTTTTAATTGGTTAAAGTAGAAGGAGGAAAGATTGAGTATATAAATAAACATAATTTATGAAAATTGTTTAAATAATAGCCAGGTGAATGAAGTGCAGGACAACCACGAAAATATAGAAAAGGAAAATTACTTCCTCTGCAAATTTCCTAAACAATAGACAAGACAATGAATAACGCAAACCTAAAAGATACAATAAATAATCCACACGCCTTACGAAACAACCGAAAAAAAAGAGAGAAAACAGAGAAAATAAAATCTCAGTACGCAGGATTCCTAAAGGCCCCAACGAAGACGAAATTGCCCGTCTGGCTGTCATAGATCACGAAGACGAAGGGACGATCACACGCGAAGGTCGACGGCGGAGGAGGCTTCGTCCGCGACAGAGACACGAACACCGTCGCCGCCGCCGCCTCCGTGCCTTCCTCCGTGACCTGCAGCGCCGCCTGGTGGAACGTGCGGCTCACCACCAGGCTTCCGCGGGGCGCCAGGCTGGTCAGGTCGGCCGACTCGCTGAACAGGTCCCGGATGCCGAGCTTGTACAGGGCCTGGGGACGATGAGGGGAACGAAGAACATAAATATTATTGATAATAACTACGGTTAGTACAGACTGGACGTACGTATATATACTCTACATCTCGACAAAACACACACACACAAACTATATGTGGGTATGCATATACGAATATGCTCATTTATTTATTTTTGTTCATCTATCTATCGTTTATCTAACTACCCAACTATTTTTATCTGTGTATTGTAAGTAGGCCAACTCTCCAGCGTCACGAAGACATGTTCATATCTTATTTTCCCCATTTCCTCAAAACACCTCTACCATTTTCCCAAACAATCCCTAACAATTTAATCCTTTCATGACTATCGGCAGGTTTGCTAAAATTTCCCGAGGCCCGACTCAACGAATATTCCTATATACGGACATGCATGGACATAAATAAATGCATATCTGTCTATCTGTCTGGTGAATATGCATTCATCTGTATGCATGCTTAGACTAATAGATTTATTTATGTGTACATGCATCCCCGTATAATGATTATTCATTGGGTCGGGCCTCGCACAATCTTAACAAACCGGCCTTATGACATTACACATAAGCCCTTCCACAAACCTAGTTTCATGGCCCTCAAACCCAGAACCGCCCCCTCAACCTCCCTCTCGCCGCGCACTCACCAACTTGAGGTCCCCCTTGATGGACGAGCGCAAGGTGAACCTCGGCAGGTGAATGGTGACCTGGTGGTGCCACATGTTGGTGATGGCGGAGCGGAAGGACGTCGGGTTCAGGCGGGAAAGGAGGTCCTTCACGTCACCCGTCGGCAGGAAGATGTACATGGTGAAAGGACCTTCGGCGTATGGGAGTTCGAGGACCCGAGCTCCCAAGTCCCTCGACATCCCTGTGAAAGGAGTGGGTGAAGGAGGATTGGCTAATCGTCGGATTGGATGTTTTACGTACTCTTCGGATTGGGTAAGGTTAGATTAACTTGCTGCCATTCATCGTGTTTTTATATACTGAGAATTTTATGGTCCAAGGTATTCACACTGAATCTGAAGTCCCTCGATATTTCAACGAAATACTTCGTTTGCTAGACCAGATTAGTTCATGTTCCTTTGGTAGTATGTTGCTCTCTCTCAAACAGAAGGAAACACCATTTAGAAAGTGCTAAATAACATTTATATGAAACATACAGAAATGTTATAATAATGGCAGGCAAAAATCGTTATCCCTATCGAACTCATGTACAGACACTAAAATCACAATAACCACATTGCAAACAATCATAAAGAAATACCAAAATTAATAATATCCCACACGAAACACAAACAAACAAACAAAATACAACCAAGTTACCCACAACAAACCCAAAAAACACAAACAGACACCTCCACCATTACCCACCATTCCTGAACTGTCCCTCTTGCTTCATCATCGGAACCTCCACGTACTTCTCAGGCGTAACGTAGAAATTCCCATAGTAAGTGTCATTCAGACGGAACTGGTGTCGCCAAAGCCCCTTGAAAGCGGCCACATTCACCATGACCATAATAGCCTGGTATATTTCGCGTTCGTTCACGACGTTGGAGATGAGGCCGCGTGTGTTCTCGAACGTGTATTTGTTGATCATGTTTGTGGCATCGTGGTACTGTGGGAAAAAAATGTGGGAGGGGGGGGGGGGGTTAAAGTAGATTAAGTACACGAAGAATAATGCCTGTTGAGAATAGGAAAGCTGGAATGAATATTTTGGATAAAACAGGAAAATGCGTGGATTTTGAATTGTGAACTTAATAGAGGTAAAAATAGGTGAAGAATATTTAAGTAGAATGATATAGGTAAAGGTAGAATGAAATACATAAAGGTATAATGGATTTTGTGAACTTATTAGAAACAAAAAAATAGGTAAAGGATAGATAGGCAGAATAATAGATAATAGGTGTAATGGATAAGTCGAATAAAATAGATAAATTAAATTAATATATTGTCTAGAAATGGAAATTGCGCGAAATAAGAAACCTTTTTTGGCGCTTATCTGAAAACTTATTTGTTTATTAGACAGGCAGTGAAAAAAATAAACTCAATAATTGCAAAGTACTGTAACTAAATATTTACAGGAATATGCCAAGTGAATGAATGGACAAAACTATTCCACCATTATATCTAATGTCGATAATGATGATAGTAATGAAAACAGTAATGATGATAATAACAGTTATAATACTACTGGTACAACTACCGTTACTACTACAAATAATAATAATAACAATAATAATAATAATAACAATACTACTGATAATAATAACAATAATAATGATAACAATAACAATAATAATAACGATAATAATAATAATAATAATGATAATAATAATAATAATAATAATAATGATAACATTACGTAATAACATTAATAATGATAACAATATATGTAATAATTAATTAACCAATACTTAAAGGCACCCTGGCATCGACAAACACGCGATTGGCTAAAACAAAGGTGTTGAAACTGTTTTTGATTTGCTGCGATTGGTACCTGGTGGGAAAGAGTGCCGTGGTTAAATTTGCTTGGTAATTTTGAATATATTTTGTGTGTGTGTGTGGCTTGTTTTGTATCCAGTTGGAAAAAAGGACTTTGGGCTAAAAAAAATAAATAAATAAATAAATAAATGAATAATAATAATGACACTAAAAGACTAGAAAAAAATCTCATTTGAAAACATTTTTTTTCTTCTTTTTGTCAATTTTAGCTCTGATGGACAGTTTATCTTTATGATGGGTTGATGTTTTGAAGACTGATTTTCGTTAGTTTTGTGTATTAAAGATTTTTCTTTTAGTTGGTTATATTTTGGTATTTTTTACGTGTATTATGTTTGAAATTTGGCCGAAGGTTAGCTTTTAATTCAATCAGTTGTTTTTGTATGACATTATACAATACAATATTTTGTACTATTTTCTGTTTGTTCTATTTTTTATCTTATTAAATGGAATTACGAAGCGAAATGGAAACTTCAAAAGTACATTATTTTCTTTTAATAACCAACTTGCTCAGAAGATAAAAAATAACAGTCATCTAAGATTGTGAAGTGATAGAAGATAAAATTTTTACGTAAAGAAAAAAAGTTTCTGGTTCAAACTAGTATCATGTTCCATGAACGCTTTCCAGTCTGATCTGAAACCTTGAAGGAATTTTGTGAATAAGGATAAAAAAATAATCTAGATTTCCTACTTCTTACTATTTCTTACGCTTCATACTTGAACAAATACTCATGGCTTTCTGAGTGACCTTCATCCCTCACATTTTGATGCTAAATATCGATCGATAATCATTATACGATATCGACTCCATAACGCGAAATATAAACGCTTATCCTAGCAAATTAAATACGTTTCTCTTCATAGCAAACTAATATAGAATTTCTACTTCCTAATATTTCATATATTTTATACTTAGTCGAATATTTATGATTTTCTGTCTGATCTCCATCCCTCGCAATTTAAATAATCGTCGATAATCACTATGCAATATCGATACCATAACGCGGAAATAAAGAAAAAATCTAGCTAATCAAACACGACTTGTTTCCCTCCACAACAAACTAATCTA